GGCCAATCGGGGTCACACATATCACATGACCTATGGGTGTTATATCATCGAAAAGGCTAGAATTGAGTTTGGCGTTTAATTTCGGAATTTTTTCATGTCATAGGCTTCGTGATGTATTTTGAGTTCAGGTAAATTGTGATATCAGAAGGTAGCATCAACAGATGCATAACTGATGTAGTGCCGAGGCAGCAATCAATCAAACGACCCTCCGTCTAGAAGATCGGTCAATGAAATTGTATGAAAATCCAGTCATGCTAACTTGTTGGTGGAATAGAATAATGTGCGTATTACCGAAAAAGTCAATTCGGAGGCACATTCTGCTAAGAAAGAAGAGATTACACCTTCTCACCAATCTGTCCCATTTCACTAACTGACTTACCCTGACCGGTAGACTCCCCTACTCCAGCAACACTTTGCTTTACCTAGAGCTATAACTTATTCATTATGTCGAGAAAAAACTCATGCTGATCATCACCTTACCGTTTGCGTCACAGCGCTACGAATTGCTCAATTCTGTGGAGAATGTTGAGCCACACCTCACCTACTTTGGTCGTGTATTCTCCGCAGATCATTTGGTAACTTTGTGATTGCAGACCATGGTCTGTGAAACACGATTTTGTTTCAAAAAGAGATTTGTAAAATGTAATGATGGAATTATACTACTTTTACACTGCTTACCAACCTTGGAAGTGCCTTTGCTTATGCACACCATATTTTGCAAAACGTACTTATTACTTTGGCACTGGAGATGGTCGTGTTATGCCAACTTTGAAGACTAAATTTGTGTTGATTGAAGCTCTTTAGTAGTGGAATTAATTTTACCTGGCTGCTGCAGCATTTTAAACTCTGACGCAAGGATAAACCGACACGCTTGTCGATTCTCTTTAATAGCAATTTCAAACGGAACATCAAACTAGTAGACGGGTGACAAAAACCAAATGATTATCACAAGAACTGCAAAAAGAGGGGCAGAATGGTAGATCGGTGTCTCAATGAGAGGACCTCCACCTCAGGCAAAAGCGTTGGTCTTTGATAGGCAGGATTTGAATTCTTCTATGGCAGTGGCAACACTTGAAGTGGAATTACCCATTAGAACAGTCCAATTACCCAAATTAAACAAAAGGTGAGAGTCATTCTTTCCCCCCTTATTCTGCGTCTTCGCTACTTCAGTGCTAGTCACTCATCAGTTAGGCCTATTTTCAGCGCCTTGGATGGAGATACTACCTCCTCAAAATGGATTTTTTGCATCATTCCGTTGACTTAGTCTAACCAAAGTTTTAAAAACCCCCACCGAATAGGTTTATACTGTCTTTCTTGTTTTAGGAGAACCAAGAATCTGATTCATTCTTGTTCTTCTTTGTTTATAAAACCAGGAAATTTGATTCTTGGTGTCAAATAACTACCCTTCATCGGGTTCTAACGATACTTTCTAAAAGAAAATAGGTGTTCCATTAAAAAAAAGGTAAGTCGATCGTTAAATTTCCACCCACTCTGTTCCACTAACTGGATGGTAATTTGGAGCTGGAAGACGAGGGGCAAAAGCGGCAGCATCGCTACCCCTTGCTGCTCAACACAAGCCACCTTCTAAATGCTTTCTTCTATTCCTACAGCTGGACTGATGATGATCGCTGGTTTGTAGTTAAAACAAAATTATGGTAAAGTGGTATAACCTACTCATAATAGTTAATAGAGGACAGAAGTAGTAAAACTCTGAAAAGTCGTACTTGATTGCACAAGGGTCACTCACAGTTATGTGTAGCATTGTCATGGAAACTTTATTTCTTACAGCCACAAAATAAATTGCTACACTCTGTAGTGTACTGCACATTTTACCTCCACAACTGGGTATGCAATGCCCCGCAGGTGGAGTGGTCAGAAATTCGGTCATCTGTGTGTCTGGCTTTCACCAACTAGCCATTGTTAAGTTTTTCGAACCGTCAGTTAATTTAGAATGAATGTATTCAGCACTTGTTTGAAGAGTTGAATGTGTGGCCAGAAGACTATTTATGTGACTTGACATTGTGTGAGTTCAAATAAATGCAAGATGGCCGATCTGTCTCCCCTTCTCTCGCCATTTCATACCGTGTTGGGACCATCAACATCATTGACCCACAGTCGATGTGGAATCAGAAGAATGAATTGTATCATGTATGCAAATCATAGCTAGCCTTTTCTAGCACTGTGCTACATAAGAAAATTATGCTCTTTTTTGCACGTTTCTTTGTTCCTTCCGTTTTGACGTATCTGGCCTCGGTGCAGTTCTGTTTTAAATGCTTACTCATAACGTTAATGATTGCTTTTAGCATGCAATGGAAGGCACCAAAATTTTCTCTTTGTTTGGATTGGATTTTCCTACTGCTGCTAAAAACGTTGTGTCCTTCTGTTATGCAGGCAGCGTTTTTATTTATCCACTGAAGGAACGGAAGGCTATAGGGAAGAACACCATGACATCTGGACAATCCTCCAGTACAAGTGACAAGCGTTGGGTGGGGGAATTGTTCGCAGTACTGTCAAATCTGTTTTCGAGGTTTAATTATGGTCGTGAACATGGCCATTTTTGAGGTCTCCACCTGGGTTGTCAGGAGGCCAAGTGACCGGTACGGAAGTTGTGAATAGTGGACAAGAGTAAGCTGGGAGTAGGACATGTATGAACGTGTGTGACTAATAGAGCTGGTGGGGTGGTTTCGTTCTGCCGTGTTTTGAGAACTTGGATCGGCTTTGGTCGCGTTGGCGGCAGTAGTACACCTAACGTATCTCCAAGTCATAATTACCAACCAGGAGAAATAATGATGGGAGAGCTTACGGGATTTTGGGAGGAGTAAAATGTGACCATTTCTAGACCGTGGAGACAGGAAAGCTATTGATATGAAGATGCAGTGATTTTAGCATAAATCGAGCAAAATTGGTTAGTTCACTCTAATCTGAACTTTGTAAGTGTGTCCACTTCACGATTTGCTTGATGCACTGTGCTTGATTTGAAGCAACCACCTGCAACCACTGCGACTTACTTAGCAAAGATGCAACCAGCATTTCAAGTAGAATTTGTTGTTATTAATTTTTCTTTGAATAAAAGCACCTGAATTCCCTTTTCCATTTGGCAAGTTTTTTGCCTCTAAGCTACTTAATAGTGCAGGCAACCAACTAATCATGGGGATGCTTTTTCATTATATCATCAAGTTAAAGTAAAAGCAGTGGCCCTTTTTACACAGAGGTAACTCAGAAACCAAATAACATGGCGCTTTGGCTTGAATTGCCGTAAAAATGTGCAGAACCATTGGAAATGTTACCATGCCCCATTAATTACTGCTAACCGTTTAAAGTGGCAGATGATATCACTGCCGATTACATGAATTCTGAGGACATACTACAGAGCAGTAACCAATTTGTGA